CCGCATTTGATGAAAACCAAACACAGCGTATGAGCACAAACACCTGCACGTTGACAGTTGGTATGAGGTGCAATATCCTCTTAAGTTTATTGTACTAAGAGGATATTGCATATCAGATAGGTGGGTGGTTTGAGCTTGTTTTGCAGTATACTGCGAAGCCATCCCTTTCACCTCCTGCGTCTTTGCTAGTGTGGACCCAGAGCGTTTTCAGACGAAACCGCCATTTTCAAATCTATCCGGGCTAGTGTGGACATAGCCTTAGCCAACCCGTCAAGCTTTCTGACAAAAGTCACACTTTTCGAAAACTTCGGCTTAACGCTTTGGTAAAAGAGTGCTGATGCTGACAGGATGGGAGCTAAACAACTGAAACAGGTCTAACCAGTGTGACTTTTTCCCTTCTCTTGTGTAACTACATTGTGAAATAAAAGATCCTCAGGATTTTCTATACAGGCGCTGTGGAGAGCATCCTCACACAGAACATGACATTGTGGTTTGGGAACAGCTGTGTGAAGGACCAAAAAGCTCTCCAGAGAGTGATCCGTACAGCAGAACGCTGCTGCAGGATTGCTCTCCCCCGCTTCAGGACACCTACACCAGGAGATGCCGGACTAGAGCAGCGCAGATACTGAAGGACCCGTCCCATCCTGGCAACAAACTGTTCCAACCTCTGCAATCTGGTAGAAGGTTCCTCATCATCCGGGCAAGGACAGAGAGACTCAAGAGGAGCTTCTATCCCCAAGCCATCCGTGCCCTAAACACACACACCCGCCCTCTCACATCATCTATAATTGACTGAGACAGGACTCTTCCAGACACTAAACCAAGGCACAATGTACATTTCAAGTCCTTTAATTTTAAATATGTTTATATTGTCTATCCTGTAAAATAGTCAGATATCTATTCATATTAATGTACAGAATTCACCTGCTTGCTGCTACTACTGCACATTCACCCAGTGTATATACTATATAGATATATATATATATAATGTTCTTCCTCTACACCCCCCCCCCCCCCCACCCCCCCACCCCCCATTTTTGCACATGTTGAGGAGCGTGTCAGGCTACATTTCACTGTGTGTTATACTTGTATAACTATGCATGTGACAAATAAAGAACCTTGAACCTGAACCTTGAACCTTGAAAAGAAAAGAAGACTCATCTAAGGTGTTAGAACATGAAGTGAAAATGTATTAAATTACACCACAGTTTAGGAAACACCCACTCACCAAAACTGTGAATCCAGTATCAGTCTGACATTCTTAACCTTTGAAGAAGCTTCCTGCTGTGTGACTGTGCTGCAGCGTCCGAGTGATACGTTGAGATGGAATCAGGTAAGAAATGTCTTTATATTTCAATCTGCTCACTGAAAAACTGCAAAAACCCTCAAAACAGACAAAAAGAAAATAACTGTCAAAACATGAAGTGGCTGTTTCGGTTATAAATGTGTTGTAACGTAGTTGCAAATGTGAATTTCGGTTAATTCTGTTTAAAATTCTCCCCCACAGTTAATAACATTGATGTCTATGAATACCTGTGGGTCAGTAACCAGGACATTGCTGAGCACACGCTGCATACACCGTGTCTACAGCACATGCAGCTTGGAGACCTGCAGGCAGACAACTATGTCAAATTCATAATCCAAGACATCAACTATCTGGTGGTGGTCACAGACATGTTGGATGAGATGAGAAACAAAGTCGAGGTCCCCGAGGACCTCCACGATTTCATGGAGGATAGGTGTGAAAGCTACAAGACGTATGCTGAAAGCACGTTAAAGGAATTTAACCTCAATGTAAGAAACCTTCAGCAACCTCCTTTAACATTTCTCTATTTAACTGGAATGTTACTGTTTTGAAGTCATTGCTACAATTTATATTTAACCTGTGTCAATAATTAAATCTACTTGTCACATCCACACAGTGTGTCAATCATTAACCAACCCCTGCCATGAAAAAGTACTTGTCTGATTACAAAGACATCATGGAGAATCAGATTCGCCGTGGCTCTGCTTCCCTGCTCCAGGCTGTGGCTGTGGCTAGCCAATCAGCTCAACGAGAACTGCTGCAGCGCATACTTCACCTGGAAGATGTCCAACATGTGCGGCCACCCAGAACAGCACTATAAAGCGCTGCTCAACAAGTATCTGACCACACCAGAACAGAAGGAACTGGCAAACAAACTCTTCCGCCAGCAAATGGACAACAAGCATGACGTTTGTGCGTCTTCACTTGAATGAAACAGGAGCAGTTAATAATAAACCTTCTTGCTTTCAACTGGTTAGAGTTAATGTGCCTCTACTGCCCTCTGCTTTTCATGTCTAACATAGTGCATGTGAAGAACATACTCTTCTTCACCAGTTCTGCACTGCAATAAAAACTGAGCTTTGTTCAGTCGGTGCCTTTAGATTCTTATTGCTGTTTCTCACTTAAAGCAAAATGTCTGTCTATCTATAAAATGTCCTTTATGGCCGTTACAGCGGGAAGTACGCTGTTAACATCTTTGTATTGTTAACATTTTGTCTCTGAATTAATGTAATACTCACTGTGCTTGTTCTTGTGTATTAACTAAAGTACAGTCAAATTTTTATTATATAGCATGTTTCAAGATAAATATCACGAACTGCTTCACAACAAAAATGGTAGAACATCAAAACAGAAAAAGTCACCAAGAAGCAAGTTTTTTTTTTCTTTTTCTTTTTTTTGCCTGTCCCGTTTGGCTCTTTTGCATCAGAATTGTTGTCTAAAGGCAAAGAAAGATGCCCAACGGATTTACTTTACCAAACTGACCATCCCAGCCTTGCCGTAATGGTCCATTTGATTCACCTTTTATTGTTTATTTTATTTATTTTTTTAATTTTCACTTTTCAATTTTCACAGACTTGAATGAGGAAAAGAAAAGGGAGAAATGAAGAGGAGGAAAAAAAACAGCGGAGAAGAGGGACAGTGATAAAGGGCAAAAAACAAAAACCAACTAAATAAGCAGACAAAACATACATAAATCAATCACCTGGATCACCTGTTGAGAAAGAAAAAAGAAAACAAGCAGAAAAAATAGAGCAACATAATAAACAACATCACAATGATATATGGGAATATGACAGTAAATACTAAATATTAAACATTATTGTGCAGCACATAAGATCAACAGAACACAGTGTGCTTTGAGGTAGGAGCCAAAAAGGGTGTAGTTTGTGGGTGTGATCACCCGTGTGTACACCTGTGAGCATGGACGCGCTTGTTTTTTGTTTTTTTAAAAAGGTTCCTTCATCTAATGATCTGCTAGAGGGTGTGGGGGGGCCACAGCCCCGTCCTCCAGGGCATGAAGCAGATATGGAGATCAAAACTCCAGACATCCAGAGGCCCCCAGAACACAAGAGACCAAGGAAGACCAACAGAGGGGCAGCCGCGCCACTGTCCCAGAAAGAGCTGAGGAGAGTCCCAGATGAGGGCTCACTCAGCAGCCGCGGAGCAGAAGCCAGGGGGAGTTGCAGTGACGCGCCCGTGAGCTCCGCCGGCAGCCAGCTGTGCCTGAGTGACCGAGCCCCAGGCCGAGAGGCCGGGGGCACCCCACCTCCAAAGTGGCCCGAGTGAGCCCCAGGCTCCAGGCCCCGACAAGCAGCCACCAAGGAGTGAGCCGGTGTGTACCTGGACGCCCACCCCCGGACACAAAGAACCATCAACGCACCGATGTCTGAGGGAGTCCGCCACTGGCAGGGGAAGTGGTGGTAGGGGGAGATAGGCCTCCAAACCTTGGAGGGCCTGAGATGTCCCCAGAGAGGTGGCGCCTGACACCCAACCTGACATATAGACACAGACATACAGGCACACACAGATACAAACATCCATTCCCACCCTCATGCTCTCATATGCACTTACTCCACACTCAACCAACGTGGAGACAGACATAAAGAGACGCTGTACACACGATCACACTCCCCAAGCGTACTCTACGAACCGGGTCTAGGTACCCTTGCCCCTGGAGGGGGAACTGCACCCAGACCCAGGTGGTGTTACCCTTTTCCCTGCAGTGGGGAGAAGCAGACCGCCCCGACTCCGCAGCAGCAGGGAGGCCCCACACTCCAGACCGCAGTCGGACGGCCAACTCCTCCTCCCCCCCCCCGCTCCAGCAGGTCGCAGCTAACCAAGAAGCAAGTTTAAAAGATGACTTTTTAGCTGCTTTTAAAAGCAATCAGCAAGTTTCATAGAAGCTCAGAGAGAGATCAGGGCCCACTGCTGTTCTCAGCTCAACCCTTAAACCCACAGACTGCAGGTCCTGCTACTGGAAAAACATCTCCCAGTTTACTCTCATGGGGATTCTACATAATCTAAACTCCAAGAGCTCCAAATAAAAAACTGCAAAAGCACACAAACTTTGAGAACAGTGTTTGTTTGTTTTTTCTTTCTTCACAACATGATGCTTGGCTTAAACTTCAGCACTTAAAAGGATTGGGTTGCTGCCATGTGATTGGCTGATTAGATGTTTGCTAATAAAGTGGCCTCCTGTCTTAAGACAAAATGAAGCCTCTTGATTTATAAATGTGTTCGAAAGATTTGGGCCTTAAAAAAAACGTAGGTGCATGTGAATGTTAAACGTCCGACCAAAGAAATCGAGACTGAACTCTGGAGTAAATATAGTTGTTAATGAAGATTCATTGACCAACAGGTTCATTAACATTTCCTTCCGTCACGTGCAGTCACCCTGACCCTGATTTGAGACTTCAAAGTGAAAGCTTATTGAGAGTCCAGCAGCTTTTCCTAAAGCTGAAGGTTCCTCTGACCCATGCTCACCCAGACTCTTTTGCCAAAAGGTGTAAAACCGAAACAACAACAACACGATTGAGTCTAGCAGCAGGACCAGATGCCAAAGGCCTGTGATATTTCCTCCACCTCTTTAAGCCTCTTAGTCCTGTAAGTCTGCAGGCTGTCTGCAGAGCTACCTTGTTGCTGATCAGTGATCATTTAATCCTTTAGTGGAAAGGGTTGGGTCTCACAGGTTTGTCTGCCTGCCAGCCACACATATAAACACTCAGATCTTCACAGGTATGGAGGAACTTCTGTTACCGAACGTTGAGGAGGAGGTGCGCTCTGACAGCAGCTCGTACGCGCCTGGAAATGCAGAGAAGACGATGGGGGACCAAATGAAGACTTTCCTCCTGAAGACAGTGAAGGGGGACCTGAGGACGGTGAAGAATTTCTTTAAGAGGAATGGGCTGCTCACGCTGTCAGTCATCTCTGTGATCACCGGCTGCACGCTAGGCTTTATGTTGAGAGGAAGTCAGATGTCTACACAGGTACTGTTCACCTTACAGCAAACAGCATGCCATTAAACTCTCAGCTTCACATTTACATCACGTCATTATGTCGACTGGGCTTCTTTCCTTCAAACATCCTGTTAAGTCACCTTCAGTGGTGCTGCCAGGAGCTCACCTTTAAGCTCCTGTATTGATACTGTCCAACACTTTTCCTGTTAATTACTTCTCTCAGCTTTCTGCTCAGTAGCTGCCTTTAAACACTCTGTTAGGATGTAAAATTTCAGCTTCTATGTTTACATTTTCCTGTGAAGCTGATAGTAATATTTAAAATAACCTAAAGCTTTGTGTTGATATTTTTATTTCAAATGTCTTTACGTTGCTTCGTGCCTCGATTTATTGCGATATATCTTTTTAAATTTAAATTTCAGCTTCTGTGTTGATTACTTTTTTTTGGTTTGTTTGGTTGGTTTTGTTTTGTTTTCTGTTTATTTTATATATTTTTTGTGGAATTAAGTAAAAAGTATGCAAAACACACAGTAGCAGAGAGGGATGGAAGAGTTACCAAATTAACAACATATAATAACATAAAAAAGAAGATAAATCAAAAAACTGAAAAAAAACTGCTGAACTTTTGATATTTTAATACAAAGGTTGGAGTCTTCTCCTCCACTTCTCCTAAACTCCAGTGGAGGAGTTCAAGTATCTCGGGGTCTTGTTCACGAGTGACGGGAGCTCGACAGACGGATTGGTGCTGCAGCTGCAGTGATGCGGACGCTGTCCATCGTGATGAAGAGAGAGCTGAGTGTAAAAGCAAAGTCCTCAAATTACCCATCAATCCATGTCCCTACCTTCACCCGTGGTCATGAGCTGTGGGTAGTGACTGAAAGAACGAGATTGCGGATACAAACTACTTTATTTTGCTACAGAAATTAAGTCTTCCATTAAATGAAATCATGTCTGTTTAATAGACTCCAGTTTGCATGTAAATGAGAAAAGCTCTGCACGCAAAAGTTAGTTAAGGAGTCCCTCAGGGTTCTGTGCTGGAACCATTATTGTTTAAATGACACACATATTATACAGGCTTCCCTTACACAATATTATTAGAAAACATACATTTTCATTGCTATGCAGATGATACTTTATCTATGAAGATACAAATGAACTAGTTGAATTGCAGGAATGTCTTAAAAACACAAAGGCCTGGATTACCTCTAATTTGCTGAATTCAGGTAAAACTGGAGTTATTATATTTATAAGGCCCCAGTAACACTTTGAAGAATCTTGGAGTTGCTTATGCCCAGGACATGTCCTTTAACACACATATTAAAGTAGCATGTAGGGCTCTCTGCTATTATATCTTCTATTATTTGTGATGTTTAGTTAGTGCATCACTCAAAGACAAACATGTTGTCTTTGAGTGATGCTGAAAACTCGCTAGTTATGCGTTTTTTATTTCTAGACTGTACTATTGTAATTCATTATTATTAAAAGCTCCTTTCAGTTGATCTAGAATACTGCTGTGAGTACTGACAGGGACTTCTCCCGTACTGGTTTCTCTTCCTTTGATCCCTATTTAAGCCAAAATTGAAGTTAAAATCAGAGTGTAAAGACTACGTTGGTAACTGACTGCTGGTTTAAACTGGCACTATAACAGTGAAATGAACTGAATCAGTTTCCTTGAATTCAGTTCAGTTTTAATTAAATAGTGCCAAAAACAGTCACCTCACGACCCTTTCGCACACCTTGAATGAGATCCAGAGTTCCTTTACGAAGACTGGTGAACTTTACAGAAGACATCATTGTTGTAGGCTTCTGTGGTGGTGATCGTTCTTTTGCAGCAGCAAATGGGAGACCCACTATTAGAGAGGGAAAGATGGATGTAGGAAAATAAATCCTGATTTTAAAAACATTTCAGCATTTACATTTCAACAAGATAACTCTTTATTTACAGCCTAAGTCTCTGAAGGGGCATGGAAAGTGATCATGTGCAGCAACTATACTTCTCCAGCACTGCCAAGTTTGCTATGTTCTACAAGAAGAACCAGATTTTTTTTAAAAAAAGTGTGACAAACCTGAAGAATAATTCACAGGGAATTTGACACAGTCATTACTGTAAACAAGAAAGAAAAAGACAGGCTTCAGGAAAACTGAAAGTCCAGGCCAGGCTAGATCCAGAATGAAACCCACCACAAGTCCAGGCCTGAACCCAACAGAGCATCTCTGGGGAGAAATAAAGGACAGTGAAAATTGTTTTTATATGTGATTGATTAGCAACATAGTAATATAGGTTGTGCTTCTTAGTTTCTAGTTCATATCAAATTTTTCTTGCTTACTGGATTATATATCTCTCATTAAGGAGAGTGAAGGACACAGCTGAAGGTAAGAAAGAGAGAAAAGTTGTCAGTTCCAGCGTTTGGATAGTTTAGTCCAGTTAGGTTTAGGTTTCTTTAATCACTGTTTTAATGAAACTAAACGTAGTAAAAATGTGACACTTGAATTTATGGTTTACATTTCACTCACATTTTCTTGTACAAACCCAGTGTTGGGGCACTCTAAGAAAAAAAGTAATGTATTTTAAATTATTCCTTCTTTTTTAAAAGATCTGTATTATATATATTACTGAATTACTCTCAAGAATTACTCATAACAACATCCCAACAACATTATTACATGCTCAAAGGGACTTCAAAGAAGTCACTGCAGCGATTCTACTGTAGCAACATGAAGAGGCAGAAAGGCTCGTCCTTGCTTCTGTTGCCTTCAGTTTGGGCTCTGTCTGCTGGCCTGGGGTCGACACACACTCAGCACTTTAGTTTTGTGTAAATATGCTGTCTGTGCAGCTTGCAAGGAGCCCGTGTGTGTTAGTAGTATAAACGCAGTTGCTTCTGTCCTGGACGCAGCTTGCTCTTCACCATCGCGCCCTTGGCCTTTTGTGCATTGAAAGTAAAAGTAGTGTCTATGGCTTCATTTCAAAAGTTTTTTTTTCTTTGCACAGAAACTGAAGTCAGCTGGTAGCTGACAAAGGCATGATTGATGTTTCTTTCTGATCATATCTCCTGATCTCCTGATCAGAACCTGTGTAACACAACAACAACATACTTGTAACTGTAATGTGATTATTAAATTTAATGCAGTAATGTGTTACATTACTGCATTTCCCAAATGACTCAGCTGTGACATCACTCTGGGGTGTTGCCTAGCTTCTTGATTGCACAGTATCTCTGCAGATGCTTGCAAAACCCCAAATTTCTCTAACAGAAGAATGAAGTTTTTCTGTCCTTTTATGCTTTCTATATGCAGCATGCAGATAACTTAGGAAGCTTTATAACACAAGTGTCAGTATAACTGTAACTGTAACGTAATTATGGATAACAGTAACAAGTTACTTTGTAACATGTTAACCCAGCACAGGTAATGGTTCCGGTCAGCTCTGTGAAGAACTATATGAACGTTTAAAAAATAAAATTAAACAAATGTCATTTCATAACAAGATTCGTTTTTACATTGTCCAATGAGTTCTTACTGTTAAACACACCAAAGAGAGATAAAAGGGAAAACTACAGTTTGTATCAGAAGCTAATTATCCAGATATGTGTTTACACTTAAACAGCAAATCTCCTGCTGCAGAGCAAAGATGATCAAACTGTTTTGATGTCTTGGGCAAGACACTTCACCCTACCGCCTACTGGTGTTGGCCACTGATGGCGCCAGTGTCCAGCAGCCTCGCTTCTGCCCCAGTCTGCCCCAGGGCAGCTGTGGCTACAACTGTAGCTGCCTCCACCAGCATGTGAATGTGAGAGTGAATGAATAGTGGCATTGTAAAGCGCTTTGAGGGTCTCGAAAAGCGCTACATAAGTGCAATCCATTATATTGAGGACATATATCAAATAGAATATTTCATTTTGTATTTGCAGGAGTTTGAGCATGTCTGGTTGCAAAGCTTAATGTACTTAGCATAATAAATAGCTGTTTTTACATTTCAACCTGATACTCATAGGATTACAGATAAATCGAGCACCGTGCAGTTTCAGAGATGCAGATATGCAGGATATGCAGGATATGCAGGATATGCAGGATATGCAGGATATGCAGGATATGCAGGATATGCAGGATATGCAGGATATGCAGGATATGCAGTGCCACTTAATTTCAGCACAACTGGTCTGTTAAGTTTCCATGTTGAGGGGAACTTTTTCAAGAAATGTAGAGGTCTCTGGCCTGTTAATTCTCTGGAGGATACCCTGTAGTTGAAGAAAAACAGTGTCACAGAGCTTTAAGAGCAGCCAGTCCAAATCCACCAACGTTAATCCGTCCATGTAAGGAGTGCCTCTCATGCTCTCAGAGGGCTCCTTCTCTCTGAGCTTTTAAAAGAAACAGTTAAAACAAAGCTGTTTGTGCAGCCTCTGAGCATCTTACTGTAAATATAACCAAAACACTCTATGATAGTATAAACATAATAATAATGGCTCACTTTGATCACCGTTGGTTATTTTTATATTCAGAATACAACATGAGTTTTTTTCATTCATCTTTTTTTCATCAGTTTTTACATTTCAACACGAAATCATAGGATAAGTTCTTAAGCGATTGTTTAACAGTTACTAATTATACTCTTCTAATATAATGTTAATAAATAAAACCAACTCGGTTAGAAATGTTCATCTAGAAAGATTAAAGTTACAGATGAGAAATAAAACTGTTTACATTAATTGTTGCAAGCATGATCAGAATGACACCTCTGTGTCGTTTCACAAATCAAACAAAGATTTTAAAGTTAACTGAGATTAACTTAATCTGAAAATGTTGATGTGATTTTAATCTCCATCACTGTCAATCTGTGTGTCTGCAGATTCAGAAAACCCAACGAAACTACTCGGTTATGTGAAGTAAAACTGTGACCTATGAGCACATGCACTTCAGAGCCTGTGAAGAATTGATCCCTCTCAGCCAGACTAAAGTCACCCCGGCCGATTACAGCTGGACCACTCAGTGACTCTCCTGTTCTTTCTCAGTCAGTCACGTTTATTTCTCGAACACAT